TCAGGAAGCACAACCAGAATTAATACATAAGGCGCACCGGATTAGAAGGCTCACTGTTGATTTATGAGAAAATTAAAGGAAGTGCGCCTTATAGTCCAAAAAATACGGTACATTAGTTCAATTTGAACCATTTATCTGCCTAAAAATGTGTTATACAAACACACGAACCACTTAAAAGTACAGCAGTTGTGTGTTTGCCATAAACTACTTTGCCATTTTAGAAAGGCTGGAGAGCATTTTCCCTCAGATCTTTTCATTGTTGCTAAAGAAGCGCTTTATATTTTCTTGTAAATCAAAGTGTTTGTTGGTCACGTTTAATCCTGACAAATATTTGAAGATTGCTATTTTGAGTATAGATTTTATTATCTTTTCTAGGTAAAGGTAGATTAGCTGGTTGACAAAGAAATCTAATGAAAACTGATTCTCTTTTGTTTTTCCAAAGAGAAACACTTTTGTTTTTCTGTTGTACAGATGTTATCATCCTAATGATAAGGGCTTTCAGGAAGAGAACAGAAGGTAAATGGTGGACTATATTATTAAATATATGAACATAAAGCAAGTATTGTTTAATTTATATATGAAGCAATGGAAATATATCTAAATTATAACATGGTGAAGGGCAGTTTTGTACATGATACTGCAGTCTGACAGAGAATTATGAGGTTATTAGATTATTTATATGGAAAAATGTGCCCGGATCAGGTTTTTAGACGTTGTGAGCGTTTATGGATGCTGCCATTTTCTATGTTTGACGAAGAGAACAGACATTTTTCTGGTTTTATCATCAACACGACACTTTTGAAGTGGAGGAATAATCCCTGATGAGTTTGCATTTGTTTGCTGCACGACGAAGGCAGAAGTGCATTTTATTCAGCAGTCGCGTCCGGATTAGGATGACATTCGGAAGGTTTGAGAGCATAATCTGCATAAAACTGAAATGATACATTCTATTTGCATTTAAAATGCTTGATTAAATTGTACATTAAGCAGCTGTGTTTTGTAGTTTTTGATGGGAAGCTCACCCTGAGCAGCATCTTCACTGAGCATATGGTCTGTGAGCTCTTCCTTTTTACTGGATGGAAGACGTTTGCTTTCCCAGTTAGAACCAACATGTGGATCGGTGACTCACTCATTGTGTAGCAGCACAGACATCAGCACCTTTATGTGAATACTTTAAGGCTTCATGTTTTGCCCTTGTTCAATATGATTATGCAAAAACTACATTAAGCCCCAAATCAGAGATCCGACACAAAAAATATATATTTTTCTTCAAGAGGAATTCCCCATCTAAAGTCTCTTTGATGACTATTCATGTCAAGTGTTTCTAACAGGGACTCTCTGTGGGAACTAATTCAGAAAATTAGACTCCGGAGATGTGGCAGCAGCTTTGCAATGCAGCACAGGTTCTCGTCTTTAACAACTCATCCTCGTGAGAACCATGAATGTTTCTGCTTGCATCTGCCTCCCATCTCCAAATTCACACACAAGAGCTACTTCATGTCGCACCGTGAATGATAATTATCTCTACAAAGTCATTTCTTGAATGTAGGACACAGCAATGCTCTTATTGAGGCCTGTAAAGGTTTATTTTTTTTATCCCTTATTGTTTTTGCCGCTTTGATTTCTGCCAAATTAGACCTCAAAATTGTCCCTTTTTAGAGCACAAATAAGTGCAAATAAATGTGTCTTGTGTGTCTGGGTGAGCAAATGCAGCTTTAAAGAACGACGGCGTCATCACGTCTTGTATTCAGCAGCAGCTCCATATTTAGAAGTGACTAATGAAACGTTTTTTTCTTCCTTTATTGCCTGAGTGGATGACAGAGCTGTGTGATTATCTGTAGTGTCTTATTGTATTCGGCTACTACTCATGCAAAGTGTTAAAAGGGCCATTATTGACATGACTGAGCAGTTTTTTGTTCCTTAAAATTTATTAATCTTATGTTTTGGTGGGAGGTGTTCACAGAGACCAATTTGTTGTAATATTAGTAATGGCGCTACTGTTACATGTACTATTTATTAACAGCACTAATTATGGCCTAAATAATGAATTAGAGTGTTATTGTGTTTAGCTCTGGAGGCAGGTGGCCATTTTTATTTTTTTTAAACATAAGCCACTCCCCCCTCTACTACAGGGGGAATTTCATTGGTTCTAAGGTTGCTAAGCAACACTGGCCCATCACTTGTTTCCTCAGTTATTCATCTCTGTTTGGTAAGAACTGCATGGTCTCTCAGTTGACACACCCTTCTTATCTTTTCTTTTCTTTTCCCCCCTTTGTTTTATTGCATTTCATTTTAGATATTAGAAAGGGAAAGAATACAAATGAAATAAATCAGAATATTAATTCAATCACTTTTTCTACTCCTATTTTCCATAAAAAAGTGAAATAAAAAAATGCACAAAAAAAAGTTAATTTGTAAATAAGTTATGTACAGTTTGTATCTGTAACTTGTCAGTCTGTCATTGGTGACAGAGTCTGTCTTGCTTATAACGCACGCTACCAGTAAATAAAAAAAGGAAAAAGTATATTTAGACTGTATGGTCCCTTGAAAGCAAGTTTTAAATTAATATCTGATGTATATTCCTGTAACATTGCATTTTTATCGGAGGAATGATGTTATTAAAAATTGCAAATAAATTGCATTTCCTACAATTGCATTTTTCTTGTGTTCCAGCGCTTCACACCGGTCACAGGTAGGTATTACTGAGCCCTGCAGGCTGGTGGATCAAATGTTTCCTTCAGAAGTCTGGTGTATTGAAAATGTAGTCAATCCATATTTTTACAGTGCATTGATAACAAATTAAATGTGTCAACATTAAAATAAGAAATTCTATACAACAGTACTATAAAAAAACGAATGATCAAACCATTACTTCTTACTGGAGCTCCTGTTTAAGTCTATAGTTTTGACACTGGTAAAAATACTTCTTTCAGTGTTACCCTCTTCAGGGGTCGCCACAGCAAGTCATACTCCTCCATCTCACTCTGTCCTCACTCCAACTACCTCCATGTCCTCTCTAACTGCATCCATATCTCTTCTGTCTTTTTCTTGGCCGCTGCATTTCTAACATCCTTCTACCAATATACCCACTGTCCCTCCTCTGGACATGTCCAAATCATCTCAGCCTGGTCTCTCTAACTTTATCTCTCAGTTGTTCAACCTGTTCTGTACCTCTGATGATCTCATTCCTAATCTTATCCATTCTTGTCACTCCTTAGGAGAACCTCAACATCTTCATTTCTGCCACTTCCAGTTCGTTCTCCTGTCTTTTTGTCAATGCCAGTCTCCAGACCATACAACTGGTCTCACAGCTGTCTTGTAAACTTTGCTGACACTCTTGTCAAAAATCACTCCTGAAACTTTTCTCCATCCTGTCTGGACTCTTTTTCACCTGTTTACGACATTCTCCATTTTCCTGGATTGCTGATCCAACGTATTTAAAGTCCGGCACATTTGTGCTGCTCGTTGTAGCCTCACTGTTCCACCTCCTCCCTCTCATTCACACACATGTACTCTGTCTTACGGCTGACTTTCATTCCTCTTTTCAAGTGCATATCTCCACCTCTCCAAGTTCTCTTCCAACTGTTCCCTGCTCTCACCACAGATCACAATGTCATCTGCAAACATCATAGTCCACGGGGATTCCTGCCTGATCTCATCTGTTAGTCGGTCCATCACCAGAGCAAACAAGGAGCAGATCCTTGATGCACTCCCACCTCCACCTTGAATCTATCCGTCACCCCTACAGCACATCTCACCACTGTCCTGCTGTCCTCATACATGTCCTGTACCAGTCTAACATACTTCTCTATCATTCCAAAATTCCTTATGCAACACCACATCTCCCTCCCTCAGCACCCTGTCATATGCTTTTTCCAAATACACAATGGAGTTCTTTCTGACCCTCTCTGTACTTCTCCATCAGCATTCTCAAAGCAAAGATGGCATCTGTGGTGCTTGGCATGAAACCACTGATGCTCACAAATTGTCAACTCTCATCTAAGTCTAGTTTCCACAATTCTTTCCCAGATCTTCATTGTGTGGCTCATCAACTTGATTCCCCTGTAGTTGCTAACTCTGTACATCATCCTTGTTCTTAAAAATGGTCACCAGCACACTTCTCCATTCCTCAGGCATTTTCTCACCCTCAAATATGCCATTGAATATTTGAGTCAAAAACATTCCTGCCATCTCTCCAAGTTCAAGACATTTCCAAACCTCCGCTGGTATGTCATCAGATCCTACTGCCTTTCCTTTCTTCATTCTTTTCAGAGATTTCTGAACTTCACCCTCACTAATCTTTCCCACTTTCTAGTGAAGTTTCTATGACAGCTACTCTTCATTCATTAGCTCCTCATAGTACTCCTTCCATCTTACCGTCACAATCTCCTCACTTGTTAGAACATTACCATTCCTATCTTTAACAAGCCTAACTGCTGCACATCCTTTCCAGCCTGATCCCTCTGTCTTGCCAATTGGTACAAGTCCTTCTCGCCCTCTTTAGCGTCGAGCCTCCCATACAACTCATCATACACCTTCTGCTTTGCCTTAGCTACCTCCCTCTTTGCTCTACATTGCATCTCCTTACAGTACAGATATTTAGTGGACTTTATAAACTTTAACCTCTTTTAGCAAGTGTTTAGATTTGGATCCAAAAAGATCAACATGTCTAGTTTTTAAAGTTCAATTCAATTCATGGCAGTAGTCTAATTACAGCACTTTACAGAAAAATAAAAGTATGGGGTTGCAGGTAACAAAGAACAGAAATCAGCAACTGTGACTTTCAGCTTCAACCAGCAGGGGGCGATATTTAATATTTTACATATTTTACTGCTGCACAAGATTTCAACCCGAAAATACTCTTATCCTACAAGAGTTTCACACTCCTGGTTCAAATTAAGTGACTCAGTCACCATTATAACACTCAGAACAACTTCACTTCAAAGAGAAACTAAAGAATAACTTTAATTTTTCTATGCGAGTTTACTGCAAAGAAAACATAGAATACATTATTGAAAAAAATCAAATTTACAGAGAATAACCATCAAAAGAAGATACTATGGTTTATGACTTGTCATATGTCTTTTCATATTTCCAATCTGAGAGAATTCTTTGTCACAATGAGAACACTTGAAAGGTTTCACCCCGTTGTGGCTAAGCGTGTGCCTCTTCAGACAGTTCAGAGTGATGAAGCGTTTGGGGCACTCTGTGCAAAGATATGGACGATCTCCTGTGTGTGAACGCGTGTGCACAGTTAGGTGGCTCTTGCAGGAGAAACCCTTCCCGCAGTGGATGCAGGTGTAAGGCAGCTCGCCCGTGTGAGTCCGATTGTGCAGCCGCAGTTCCCCGGAGGTCAAAAACGCCTTCCCACAGGTGGTGCAAAGGTAATTCCGTTCCCCGCTGTGCATCTGCATGTGTCTTATAAAGCCATTTTTGCACAAGTTTTTTTGACAGATCTTGCAAAAGTTGAGGGGACCATCGTGTACACGTTCGTGCTGCTTGAGAGCACTACTGGAGAGGAATCCCTTGTTGCACTGGTTGCATGTGAATGTTCGTCCTTTTTTGTGAATCTTCTGGTGATAATAAAAGCCAGACCTGCTTGTGAATCCCCTCTCACACTCAGTGCAGTAATGGCGAAAGTTGTGCAGCTTCACATGGGTCTTCATCTGATTAGGATGTTCAAAGACTTTTTTGCACGTGGGACATTTAATTTCTTCTTCCGTGAAGTTTTTGCTCACAGGTCGCATACTCAGAAACCTTTTATCAACCAGAGTTGGCTCTTTCCTTTTTCTGCGACGCTTCTTTTTGGAGCTGTCCTCCTTCTGTTCCTTATCCAACTGTTTTTCAATGCTGCCTTTTTGTTTGCCTCTCCTCTGATTGTTTACGCTGAGCTTTTGTTTCTTACTTTTAGTCTTTAAGCCTTGGCTTTTTTGCAAAGAATTGCTTCTCCATTTTTTCACCGATTTCTTTTTCTGAACAAGAGCAGCTTTCTGGTGCTCACGGATCATTCTTGGTTCAGGCGGTGTGTCTGAAACCTTGGAGGAGATGAATAAGCTGGATAAACTGCCTAAAAACAGGAGGCGAAAAAAAAAATCAAGACTGGCTTAGTGAAGAAATTTGAAAATAATTTTGTTCTGCAACTGACCTGATTTACTTTTTGGCATCCATTCATCCGAGTCGTCTGTATCAGCGATGCACTGATTTGAGTCTTCCAAATCCTCCAATGCCAGCGACCCTTCATCGCTGTCATATTTATCATCATGAGCCTCACTGAACACTTCAGTTGGATTAGAGAAGGCCAGTGTGGACAAAATTGTACCCTCGTCATTGCTTGGACAAGCTGTAATAAAAGAACATCTGATAACAAACAATGAAACTATGTTCTTCTTCTTGGTGAAAAATGAGGGAAGAAATCTCTGTTCTTACCTGAACTGAGGGTCCCCAGCTCTCTGTGGTGAACCAGCAGAGTCTTCAGAGCCGATGGTTCAGATAAATCATGTTTAAACTCCTCTGATGCAGATGTTTCAGAGAGCAAAACTGTTGTCTGTAAAACCATGACTAAGTATATGAAGCTCACTTAAAAGGCCTCTGAGCAAAAGTACAAATTTTCCCTTACGACGTTTTATATTATTTACCACAAAAATATTCCTGCAAGTCCTCACATAACACAACCACGCAAACTTAAATGGACTACCTGCTGCAGGTTTGGTGTGGGCATCAGCTCTTCCAGTCGAGACAGAAACACAGACACAAGCTGCTGGATCCTTTTGTTGTAAACAGAACCGTAGTTCTCGGGGAAAACTTTCTACACACATCCAAACGATGAGATATTAGTTTTTGATTCAGGTTAACATCTTATTCTGTTTGCTATGGTTGGGGAATATTTAAAAATATAAGAATATATATATGAGAAACTATATTAACACAACTCCATTTGCTCATTTGATGAAAATAAATAAATCTTCTTGCTTTAAAGACAAGTGAATTGTTCACATGCAAACTCACTTTGAAGAAGAGTTCCTTTTCCAAGGGAACATTTAAAATTTTCTGCACCAGGCTGGCAAAGTTGCTATAACAGGTCTTGAGAATATCCTCAGTTTCCTGCTAAAAATACACAAGTCCCGTTAGTTATGTTGGCGGTTTTGTATGTGTTTATTGTGTGTGTGTGTTTTTGAAGCACCACAATTTGACTGCAGGTGCTCAGCTCAACGCAGCAGGCGTGAATTTTATCAAGGTGGCCTTGGATGGTCTTCAAGTTGGCAACACCGTCACCACGGCACAGCTCAAGAACAAGCTGCAACAGAGTAAAGATGGGAGAGCATCAAAACAACATGTAATAGAGCAGACAGACTCAAATGGAAGCATCTGATAGGGAATATGCAAATAATGTCAACTGCAAGTATGAATCTTTATGAATAATGTAATAAACAGCAGACATGAAGCACAAATATCCTCATGATTATCCATGGAAATGGTTAGATTTAGACTAATGAATCATATCTTACAATCCTCTCATATAAACAGAAACAGACTGTTGCAAATAGTTAAATTTCAATCATAATAAAATGCACAGTCACACATTCAGAGATTCTTTCCAGCACTGATTTAAAAAAAAAGCAGTATTAATGATTTTAATTTATACAAATTCTGAATAACTGTTACGACAAATTACACAAATTTCTTGATTGTAATAAGTCAAATGACGCCAGCCCTACCCATTCCATATGAAGGATCCAGAGTCAGAAATAAAATTTTGACATTGATTTGCAAGATTTCAGTACCAAGCGGTGGAGGAAAACTTGTCCTGAATGGTCACATTAATATACAGTACAGGACAGGGTCAGTGAATGCACCACATGAGAATGAGGAGCCTCACCTTTGCTCTCAGGCCCAGCATGAGCTCTGCATTGTGCCTGGGACTGAGAAGCTCCGGGACCATCTCTGTTACCAAACTGATGAAGTCCAGCAGCTTCTCATACTGCAGCACGCTGCTGTCCCGCTGCACCACTTTCCACATGAAGGCAGACATGAGTCTTACTGGAGGGACCAGCAGCTTCAAGGAGGCTGGAGGAAGAGGGGAGTCTGCCGAAAACACCACATGCACGACAGTAAAATGATGGGATGCAGAATAAAATATTTGTACTGTACAAGCATGTGCAGGGGGGTGCAGTGTGTCATTTAAAAAAATGTGCAGTAGATTAGCTAACGTTAGCATTGCGGTTTATTTGTTGTATTACCTGCTAAATTAACAAAGTACGGATATTGGAAAATCAACTAGCTAAGCAACTCTACAAACCTTTGCTGTTCCACGCCATTGTGTCCACCCATAAGTCTTCACAAAATGCAAAATGCTAGTTTACTGGTTTCTTACATAGCTCGCAAATAACTTCCGGGTAAAACGGATGTTGTGGAAATGCACGGTCCGTCACGTTTAGCTTCAAAATAAAAGTTTTACTTTTTACACCTACCTACTAGGGAACACAAGCCAGCGCATCTCTTGAGCCCAAGTCCGTGAAAATGGTGAGGGTTGTGTCAGGTAAGGTATCTGACGCAAAACACTTTTTGGAAAAAAAAACGTGTTCATCAAAGCGACACTGCACGGGTGTTACACCATATTCTGTGACCACCGTATATCGTGACCGTAGGCGGTGCTGTTGCATTTTTACACCGTACTTTGCAATAGCTGATAAAAGCTATCATATTCTGTGACCGTCTATATTTCCATAATTGTCATGATATTAGTGGTTAGATCACTAATATCATGGCAAAATGCAACAGTGCCCCCCCCCCCACCCCCCCCCCCCCCTCCCCTACGGTCACAATATACGGTGGTCACAGAATATGGTGTTACACCGGTGCTGTTGACAAACAGGGCAAGAGGACCACTATGTACTGCTTTAAATGTCTCACCCAGTACAACTGCCTTCTCTTTATTTGAACTCTTGTGACCTCTTGTGCTGGGATTATAACTCCATGTATTTTCCCACTTTTTTTTTCTTCAAACTAATCAGTCATTTTGTAGTTTTATTTCTGAGCCTATGGTGGAGCTGTATCTCCATTTTCTTTATTCTTAATCATATTGCCAGCCACCATCATTTTGTAAACCATTGTTTTCTAGTGTTATGTTGTTGTTGTTTTCTAACATTCTTGCACTTTAACCTACTGCTGCATACACCATTCCACCAAGGGACCACTTTTTTGTCCTGCCCTTTGTTACTATTTTTGGAGATACTACACTTGGCAGCATTTAAAATATGTTCTGTAAACCAGTTAGTAAAGTCCTCTATGCTTCCCTCTAGTGCACAACCATCATCATGCATGATCAGTTGGACCTTCGTCTTCCCTGTGCGCACCTTGGAGAAGACGCTGTTAAGTCGCCATGGAGGGAAGGCGCGGGGGCGCAGCTGGACACCGCAAGGACTTCACGTTTGTCAGTCCAGTTGTAAAATACCTGCTGTTCTTCTTTAATTTTATTTTCTGGGTAAGTGATCATTTTTGATGCTTGTCCTGACTGGAAAGAATCAAAACGCGGGTCAAGGAAATCCTGGTGGTTTATCATAGACTTTTATAACTTTAATTCAAATTATCTTCAGACGGTTATTTACACATCTGCTTTTCTTTTTTTTTCTTTTTTTTTTCACAAGTACTGAACTTGTCAATCCATTTGTCAAATCACTGAAAAGACTCAACAGAATTCACTTTTTGTGTTGCTTTATTCAAAGTCCTTCAACTTTTATTTGTTCAAATGCAACATAGTTCAGTTGAAATTAGCTAAGAAAGCCCAGCAGTGAGTTGTCAACAAAGTTAAGAGGGTTTGAGCATCAGGTGACTGTAGGTTTATGCTGCATTTTCTCAGCAGATTTGTTCCTGATGAAACCTGCGGAGATTTAAAAACTGTTGTTTTTTTATCACAAGTGTTGAATTAAAGCTGCTGAGGACAGTTTTCAGGTGTGTCTCTGATTAGTTCCTCATATTTAGTGTGGTCGTGTACAAACAAGATAAGACTTTGTGAAAACTTGAAGCTGGGCAGTTTGGAATGTGTTTAGTCATTTCTGCTGCCTCTGGCTACATTTTGGTTCAGTACACAACACATGCACCTTCTTTCTGCTGCTTTCTCTAAATCGTTGGAATTAGGTTCTGTCAAATATTAACATCTCAGTTAGACATCGAACAACAATGCTTTACTGGATTCAAACTAAAATGTTTCCACCTGTTGGTGACATTCGGTTGATTCTCTGTGAAAGCCCTTCCACCTCGTGAGGGTGCAGCCGTTGTAACTGGATCCATTTCATTCAGAGGCTGAAACAGAGATTCTGAAGCCTCCCTTTTATTCTTCGAGAGGAGAGCTGAGTGAAAGAGTCTTTGTTTATTAGAGAAGGGTTACAGATTAATTGCTGGTTTAGTTAAAGCAGACTTTCATTGTATAAAAAAAATAATAATAATCAGTGTCCGAGTGAATTCAGAGTGCAGGTGTTAAACATTCAATACTTCCTTCTGCCCGTCTTGCTTTATCCCCTTAAGGTGAAACGAGGAAGAAATGGTTTTGCAGGCGTGTCATCATGAAATGCTCCTAACTTTTATTAAATGAATCATTTTCCCCCCTCATGTTCTGCCAAGATCATCTCTCTGGTGATGGTGGTGATTGGAGTGTACGCCCGCACCGTAAAGCATGCAGGTAAATGATCTTTCCAGATGTTAGGACAAGACTTTGCTCTTCATCAGGCCAGGCAGGGCGCTTCATCAGTTTAGGTATTTTCTACCTTCTTTTCTGTTTCAGAGAAAGTTCTGGCGTGCCTGTCAGTGGATCCTGCCATGATGCTCATGATTGTAGGAGTCCTCATGTTCATTATCACCTTCTGTGGCTGTGTGGGCTCCCTACGAGAAAACACCTGCCTCCTGCAGACAGTATGAGGATATTTTTATGAAGTATTGTTACAATTTTCATGGTTTCTAACAGTGCAAGACAAACTCAAAGATAACTGGTGAAATGTACTCACTCAAAACTGCTGGGTTATTTAACGTACTTTTAGCTGTATAAGTCACAGTTTTTTGCATAAATTAGCATACGTGCGACTTATACAGTGAAGCGACATATTTATGTTTTATTCCTCCATATTTATAACTCAATATTTGGCTGAGATCAAACTATTTCATTCATTCTGACATGGAAAATATTGAACACTACCATTTTCAGCCACTAGAGGAAGCTTGACTAATGTAAAAGTGGCTATTAATGAGACACTTGGCTTGCCATACCAAGCCACCTTCGTCTCGCTCCGGAACTCTTGGAGCAAACGTCAAATCAGCTGCATTTCGCCGCACCGCCCAGGAGAAATGCAGCTGATATGACCATTAAAGTGCATTTATTAAGGAAATGTTCAACAGAGACACATCTTTACTGTAATATCAAGCAAACAAATAATTGTTTTTAGGTGGTTATCTTGTTACATTTCAAACAAATGCACAGCGAGTCGTCCCTCTGCGCACTCTCGCAGTCGCTATTCTGCTTTCGAAATGCAGCTGATTTGACCGTCAAAGTGCATTTATTAAGGAAAAGTGCAACTGAGACACACCTTTGATATAGTTTTGAGCAAACAAATTGTTTTTAACTGTTAATCTAGTTAAATTCTTGTTAAAGTCCTCCGGAACATGCTCCTGCAGCCGCCATTTGGCAGCCAATCGATTTTTGGCACAACACCGGCCCAAGTTTCTGGTTGGTCAGTGGTGACGCATAATAGATGCAACGTATTTACGTTTTTTTCCCACTTCATTAGACACATTTGGACTGATGCGACTTATACGGCGGCAAGTACGGTAGATAACCTAATTGTTGGGTGAAAGCTGTTGGCTTGTAATGACCAAATATTTGGCAAAAAGATTTGATGCAGAGGTTGAGTCAGAGAGGAACTATGTCAATGCATCTTATTAATGTGTGTTATGTGTTGTCATCATTGTATGTTCCCATGCAATGGTGAAATTGGCTCTCTGCATTTAACCCATCCACCACCAGGTGGAACAGTGGGCAGCTATGGAAAGCGCTGGGAGCAACTGGGAATAAGGTGTCCTGCTCAGAGACACTACGAGATGTGCAATAACCAGGGATCGAACCCGGGACCTTCTGGTCCCGAGTCAGCTGCCCTGCCCCTACATCATCTCTTTTCTTATATTCAGAGCACATCATTTTAGAAAGAATTTGATGAACTCAGACCTGACTGGAGCTCGCTTTAGGATATAATAGGCACATTTAAGATGGCAAAACAACTTGTAAGAAGATATTTACCCTGGTTTACTTCTGTAATACTTTGGTTTGTACTGAGTTTGAGTTCCTAATGACTTTACTTGATGCTAAATTGCTGATGCTAATAGCTGTTAGCACCAACTAGCTGCCACCAACCCAAACTGTAACGATCTATTAACTTAAACTAGCTCTAATTGATAATAAATTAGTCATTTTAAGCAAATTTTTGTGTAGAAAACTTAACCCGGTGTGCTGCTGGGTCAAACTGGTAACTCAGCTGTGAAGTTAAAACCACCCCGGCTCCAAGTTTGACTCAGCAGTGGGTCACAAATCGAGCTGTTATTAACCGGTGGTTTTTAGTGTTTATTGTTGCACAAGTATGAATTATAACCTTGAGTATCTGTTCTCTTCCAGTTCTGCATCAGTCTGACGGTCATTTTTCTGCTGCAGCTGGCAGCCGGTGTCCTGGGCTTCATCTTTTCAGATAAGGTCATCAAATGAGCACAAATGGATATGTTAACAAAGTGGTTTGAATATCTTTATTAAATTATTTACAGGGGATTATTAATTTTTGCTAATATGTCAAACTATCTATTTTAAATGTTCTTTCAAGGCAAGGCATAAAGTAACGGAAATAATCGAAAATGCCATCGTCCACTACAGAGACGACATTGATCTGCAGAACCTTATTGACTTTGGCCAGGAGGAGGTAAACCTAGGTTCACTGTTGTTTAAATCGTTGCAGCTGCTATAAACCCATTTTTTATACGTGCAGACTTTAACTTCTCCCGTCTTCTCAGTTTGGGTGTTGTGGCGGGACGGCCTACACCGACTGGTCTGAGAACATGTACTTCAACTGCAGCGAGGACAACCCGAGCCGTGAACGCTGCTCTGTCCCTTTCTCCTGCTGCATCATGTCCAAAAACCAGGTCACCTTCCAGTCAGACTAATATCATGTTTATTTCTGCTGGATTTTAAATGTAAATGCTTCTGTGTGCAGGTGATCAACACCATGTGTGGTCAGGACAAGCAGAAGTTAGAGTACAATGATGCTAAAGAGCACATCCACACTGATGGCTGCATCGACAAACTGGTTGACTGGATCCACAGCAACCTGTTCATCCTGGGAGGCATCGCACTGGGACTAGCAATACCACAGGTAGAACGTCACGCAAATAACACATTCAGGGGTAAAGCTTCCCAGAGTCCTCACCGTCTCCTTGTGTTGTCTCTTTCTGCAGCTGGTTGGCATCCTGTTGTCTCAGATTCTAATAAATCAGATCAAAGATCAAATCGAGCTGCAAAACTACAACTCCAAGCATCGCTTTGACCCCTGGAGCTGATCCAGGACCAGATTCTGATGACTGGCTGCAGCAGAGCTCAGTGTACCGTATTTTTCACACTATGAGGCGCACCGCATTATAAGGCTCACTGTTGATTTTTGAGAAAATTTAAGAATTTTAAGTGTGCCTTATAGTTTGAAAAATACGGTAATAAGACTTGTAATAAGACAATCTGAAGACAAGTTAGGACATAAAACTCTACTGCCACCTACTAGACCAGGGATCTGCAACCTGCGGTTCTGGGGCCACATGTGGCTCTTTAGTCCCTCGTCTGCGGCCCTTTGAAGCTTTAAACACAATTAACACAAAATTTTATTTTATATCCACAACAGAAAAAGGCTTTCTTTTTAACCATTTTCTGAAATTACGTGAATGTTACTATTAATGCAGCCGGACCAGAAATTCTTAGGGATATTTTTTAGTACGAGCTTGAGATTTAAAAAATAATAATTTATGTAAATGGAAATATTTTTTTTCAAATAAAATTCAATAAGTCACAATTAAATATGCAACTAAATGACTTAGATTTTATGCACACAATTAAGTTTTATTTTTTATTTTTTGCTTTATTACTTATATTGGGATACTTCACTAACTTTTCCACAGAAAAAAGGACTCTTTTTTTTCAAAAACTTTTTTCTAAATTCATAAAAGCTATGATTTATTTCATTCTTTACATGAATATGGTCTTTTCTTTTGTCCTAAAATGTAAAAAAATTAAGCAAATGGTGTAATTCATTATATATTTTGAGCTTTATAATGTGGTCAGAAAAGCCTGCTCCAACGACCTCAAAATGGCCCATGGGCCACCAGTTGATAATCACAGTTGAAGCAGGTTTTCTGGATTTATTTAGTGAGCAAAGGGGCAGAAATGGCTCTTTTGAAAAGGTTGCGGACATCTGTACTTGCCTTTACTAAAAATCATTGTTGACACTTACCTACATATATATATTTTTTATTATTTATTTGTTTTTAAATAAACCAAGAGTATAAAAAGGTGTACAGTATCCATTTTATTTTCTGCTGGAATCAATTGAAAAGGGATTGTATTTTAAATGTTTTGAAAAATTATATACAACAAAATGATTTAAGTTAATGTTTCTCATTTTTTATTTGCCATCATCTTGTAAATTTAATGATTCCTAGAACGTATTTTTGGTTTCCTTGTGACGTTTAGTGAAAGTTATTATTATATATTTTTTCATGGGCTATTTTGTTTTTGGATTGGCAGGTTTTTTTTTTGTGTGTGTGCTTATTGAAATGTTGCATTATGTTTCTGATTTCTAAAGCCATTTGTGTGTATGTACTTATATTTTGTTAATTTTATAGAACCTTTTCTGGCATAATCACCTGCCTTGTCAGAACCGGTGGTCTCTATGGGCGACAAATATTCATTCTAATTTGGTGTAATGTAGCTTTAGAGTTAAGTTTAGGGCTGAGGAGGGAACTAATGGGTTAGAGTGTGGTTTAGGGTAAGAGTCTGGGTTTATTGTGCATAAATTAATGTAAGTTAGCACAATACTTTAATATGGATATAAATGCAAATGTGTGCTTAAAAGTTTGTGACTTCAGAATTGTCTATATTTCTGCATAAATATTACACAAAACATTATCAGATTTTCACAAAAGTCCTAAAAGTAGATAAAGAGAATCCAGTTAAAGAAATGAGACAAAAATATTATTAGGAATGCACGATATTATCGGCATGGTATCGGTATCGGCCAATATTAGCGATAAAGTTAAATATCGGCCATTCCATCAAAATAACTCACCGATATAAAAGGCACTGTTT